AGCTCCTCCAACAAATCCAAGTGGCCCCTTCACGTGCATCAGTTATGCACTAAGTGGTAGATCAGGCTTTACTGGAATGAGTTGGTTAATGACTGATTCTGAACTGAAAAATGTCCCCGAGTGCGTGTCAGTTGTAGTAAATATTCATGGTATATGCTACTTCAAGTTTAGGGAACTTAGCAATATCTCTGTCCTTCCTGTAAGCAAAGTAGGTGTTTTGTTTATGTCTAATTAATTGCGTGTTCCGAAGACTGAAGCCTTCTTCTGTTTTTTTCCTAAGCTTCATCCTGCAATTATTTGTCCCCTGATTTTCTGGACTATGTTGTTGTCCTCTATCCTGCAACTTCAGGGGGTCTAGTCTCTAATGATTGAAATGCTCTTCAGCAAGTTCTTCTCTTCCAGTTAATACAGCAAAAATGTTAGCATCTACAAACAACAATTTGACTGTATAGACCTAATAACTTCTAGTATACCAGTTAATACAATAACTAAAGAAAGGACTTAGTGATGAAGAAGATACGATAATACATAAAGAGCTGAGTTAAGTTTGCATGTATAATTAACAGGAATTTCTTAATGTGATTGTGTTGAGTTCATACATCTGCAAGAATATAACGTTATGTAGTTTCTTAATTCAAACTCCAGCACGTGCTATCTTGTTGGCTGAAATTTGTATCTTTGTGTTCAGGGTGCAGATACTTAAATTCTGCACAAAGACTTAATTCTGTAGAAAGTGGTAGATAGTTACTGAGTACATCGCTCAGGTACATAGATCAGCATCTCAAGGCAGATAGGGTTTTGGAGCAATCAGTCGTGGTTTATGAAATGTCACAGTCAATTGCTATTCATCTGGCAAGATAAACTAAAGACTAGAGGGAGAGAAAAATCTTGAAGATTAAGGACTTAGTACTCACTCCCTGTTTACTGAAGCTGAGTGGCAGGGGGACAACATGTTCATGTATATAGATAACATTCAAAAGTGTTAGCATTTACATACTTTGAATTTCCATTTTTTATTTGCCCAAGATAAAGCTGTTAATAGAATGCAACTTAAAGTTTGCCAAGTCAATACAGATGTTATTTTAAACTTCAGTATCCTTTAAGACTTTTTTCTAATCACAAAAGTCTAATCTTTGAGGTTGTATATGCCTTCAGTTGTATGTTCAAACTATGTGTGTAATAGATAAGCATAATATGATTTGGGTATTATACATATATTTATATATGACAGCTATAAATACCTAAATTAACAGAGCAGTATCCTAAATATGGAGAGACAGAGCATGAATTTCAAGTGCTTGAGCCCTGCAGCTCTCTGGGCAGTGGGAGGGAAATTCCACCCACTTAAAGTCAGGGTGATCTGTGCTATGCATTAGATGTTGTGGCTTGTAAGTCATTAAGTACTGGATCTCTTCCAGTGTGCTTTTTTTTTTTTTTTTTTTATTTGTAATGTTGTTATTTTGTTCAGGGCTCTTTCAGGTAGCTCTGTGAGGATGTAACTAAATAACTGAGACTAGGTTTGTGTTTGGAGCTTTCTGCTAGCTAAAGCTAAATCATTATTATCATACCAGCAAAGTATTCCAATTATGTAGTTCATCATCAGAAGACCAAGTTACTTAGTGTAGTTACACAAATAATTAACTTTTTTAACAGCATGCTTTGTTTGTCAAGGTAGTAGCAATTGATCAGGTATGTTTATACCTCTTAGAGTATGAATCTCATATATAGGACATAAATGTCTGTTGTATCAGCATGCTCTTAAAACACCACAGTCTCATTTCTGCCTCATTTAATAATAATTAATAATAGATATTAATTGATAATAGATATTAAAAATCTTCCAGCTACTGGGTTATTTTCTGGTCAAGCAAAGCCTTGACCCTTTGGGTTCAGAAGTTCACGTTCTCTTTCTTCATTCCCTCATGGCATCTCTGTGTTATCCCCAACCCATTCTTTGCTTCCTTCAGTGTAGCTCTAGCACAGTATTTTTCCAAGGGCCATCTTTCATCATAATCATGGAGTTGGATAATAATGGATTTCAGAGAACCTCAAACTCTTACGGGGGGAAAGCAGATTAAGTTCCATTTTCAACCTGTTGGGATAAAAAAGACTCGAGTTGCTCTCTAGCTAGAATGTGTATAAGGGGAAAAAACATTTAGTCTCTCTGCTCATAACTCTTTCTAGTAACTTGCTAATCAGTTACTTAACCAATTTGCACGCAAGCTGGTGGAGAGTGGATAATCTGCAACGTGTACTTGGAGGTACACAAATACAAACTCCAAGTTGGTGTTCTGTATACTAATTTGCCTACTTGCAGGATGAAAGATAGTTAACCAGTTCACAACTGCTTGCTGTGTCCCTCATCCTGCTGCCTGACTTTTGCATCTAGGAGCCTCACAGGCCTATATCCTAGCCCTTTTCACATCTAAACAACTGTTTGGTTCCTACCATCATGAAGATATGCGGGGTTCGTCCCTCCACCCACCTCCCCTCCAACTGCTCTGAAGTAAATACCTGCAGATTTTAGCATCTGCAGTCAGTCTGGCAAAAACAGAAGGTGTGAATGATATATTATGAGAAGGTACTGGGTTATTGCAGTTGCATGTAACGCTACCTGCATTTCTTGCATTGCTGACTTTGTGATACTATTGAGCTGAAAACCTAAGGGTTTATGAAGTCATGGTTTGTAGCTGGGTTCTTTAAACACTACAGCTGCATTCATGTAGAACAAGAAATATTTCTGGATGTTCTCTAATTGCCTTTTCAATGTACTTAGTATGCATGTCACTTTAAGGAGCAGGAGGGGAAAGTGTGTGTGAAAGAACTCAATTTTAGCTAACATTTGGGGCTGGTTCTGTTCTGCTGTCTTCTGCCCTAAATGCAAAGTGCAGCATGATGCTAATTTTCCTTGAGCCGTATTTGGAATCTAAATAAGACAAAGATAGTTGATTATTGTGCAGTTATTTTTCGTGTAGAGGGGTTGTGAATATGTTTGGGCTCTTCCATTTGGAGTTAGTCCTTTCATAATATTGCCTTTTCTTCTATGATTTCAGTCATTGTAAGAAGTCTTCCTATGACTGCAAATTAATTTCTTTTCCCACCTGGCAAGGGTCAACAATGACCACAACCACTGATTTCCTAAAAGGCATTGTGGTGCATCATAGACCCTGTGGAAACTGCAGGGGATAACCTTGATCAATAGACCGCTGTCATAGCTGTGGAGTGTTTGGGAATCTTACAGCATGCAATTGTCATGTAATGCTGCATAAGAACTGAGCATTTTCTTCGTCCATAAATTTGAAATACCTATTCTGAGTCCATCACTGTGGTATCAGGTTATCTTGACCTTCATAGTATTGCAAGATTGCGCTTTCCTTAGGTAGGTGTTTCATCTCTTGTATCTGCCTTAGTTGAGAAAGATGAAAGCTTGTGACAAATCTTGTCAACGTACTGTTCTGTACAGGACTCTCTTTTACTGTATTTTGCAAATCTGTAAAATGTGGATGGAGAACTTCCATGGACTTGCTTAGAGCTACCCCCAATATGTGTGTGTATCCAAACACTCAGAAAGAGAGGTTGTGTCTTGAACTACAGTAGTTAGTATTAACTATATGTATATTTACCATTCACCTTCCTTTTTGCTCTCCTAAGTGGGTCTTTTGATTCTCCTGATTTATAGGAGTTGTAAGTCCTATGACATGGATTTGCCTTTTATGCCTGCATGAAAGGGGAAGGGTTGAGACTACACTCAAAGTACTGCTAAATGAAAAATTTTGAACTTTTGTGTGTGTGTATTGTGGTTATGTATGCTCTGCAGACTTGGACTCAAAGGACTGCAGTTACTGTGTGGCAACGATTCTTTCTGAGCATCCTTTGCTTAATTTGCTTTGCTTAATTTGCTTTGTTTGTGTATTATTTTTTTAAAAGTTAGCTAATTGGGTCATATTTCTACTTTAATGACTGTGTGTCAAGCTACAGTAATACAGGCTCACCTGATAAACATTGTCCTGCTGTTGTATGGAAGCTGTATCTTTTTTTTAGGGTGCATTGTGGGAAAAACTAATTAAGTTTGGGATTTTGACAGCTGGGAAAATGTCTCCCAGTTTGCTAAATTCTGTGGTGATAGAAACATACAAGATCATCACTGTAGTTGACATGTATTTAGGGTTTCGCTTTTTTCCTTTCTTAGTTTTTCTTACCCTTTTTGAATTATAGTAAATGCTTTTAGAAGATTATCACCAAGTAAGGAAGTTTCTTTGATTTTTATGTAGCTTTGATGCTTTCTGCTCTTTTATTTGAAAGTAATGATCATGTCTGGCATTCTTAGAAATGTTTGTACTCTGCATGTTCTCAAGATCTCCTGTCCTTGCTCAGTGACTTAAATGATAGTGACTACCTGTATCTATAAAAGTGTGTGCTAAGCAATTAGTAATACATCCAAGCTGCTTTATTCTACATTTTAATATTTTTTTTCTCTTTTTTTTTTCCTTTTGAAGCTAATTCAATAGAACACTTACAGCTCCTGGGTAGATATACTGAAGTCTTTAATCTCATTTTTTGCCTTTTATGTTAGCTTGATGTGGTCTCCTATTATAAAAGAGAGTTCTTGACTTTTTTCTGGTTCACTTGGTTTCAGATAATTTTTTGTTCTGCAGCTGTATTTGCAAAATCCTAGTAAGAAGTTACAAATATTGTTTTTTGTTGTTGTTTTCTTTTTTTTTAAGAAACCTTTGAAGAAAATATGGTGGTCTTTAATCAGATGTATTATTACAAAAACTGTACTAGATTTCTTTTTACAATTTTTTGACCATAATAGTTACTTCTTTGATAGACTGCTAAAAGGGGATAGTGTCTTGAGCATATGCCAGTGTTTTCACATTGACTCCTTTTAAGACTGAAATGGGTATTGCTTTTCTTTTAGTATTGATTATATGCAATGTTTCTAAATCTCTTAAATTTATTGCCTGAAAAATATTAATCTTTTGGCTGCTTTCTTTCAGAGATGTGGTACTGGGTTTTCCTCTGGGCTCTCTTCTCCTCTCTCTTTGTCCATGGTGCTGTGGGAGTGTTAATGTTTGTGATGCTGCAGAGGCATAGGCAGGGGAGACTAATCTCTGTCATTGTGGTCAGCATTGGATTTCTGGGTTCTATAACAGGAGCAATGATAACCAGTAAGTCTGTCTTCGTGTTTTTACTTATTTGCTCTAAATTTAAATCAATATTTAAAAAAATAAACCTTGTCTTAGTGGTTTGGTGATTTTGCTTTAGTCAAGTAGCAATTCTAATGAAAATGACAGCTGAGTTTCTCTTCCTGTTGTGGTAAAGATAAAAATGATTCCAGAATTGTCAGTGGACAATTGTCCTAGTCTTTCATCTTGTAAACTTTGGGTACCAAGCTGTTCAAATGTGTATGCTTGTCAGGTAATACCTTTTTGAGACCTGAAAGTGCAGTCCTGTCTTATTGTACTTCTGCAGACCTTTTGCCAAAAGCTTTTGATCAAGATCACCTGTTAATATCCTTAAAGACAGACATTTTGTTTGGAAATGAAGCTCTGATCCCCTTGATTGCAGAATTGACTTCTTGCTCATTTCCTTGAGCCTGCTGGAGGTTTTTTAATTGCATTTGGATAGTATGTTGCTCCCTTAAAGGAAGGAAAGGTGCCATATAAGTAGTCTTGAAGCAAAGAAACTTTTTTGTTTTTTAGTGACTGGATAACAATCTGAACTATGCATGCTGCTCAGAGAACAGACCAAACAATTTGGCTTATGGATTTGAAAACCCTTCCCAGTCTTGTGTGGTTATAATGATAATTTCCAATTTATTTTGGTGTAGGGATGGGTGATGCTTTTGAGGGTTAAGCCTTTGAGGGTATGGAACTGTAAATTTAGAGACTGTCATATCACCTTAAACTGTAGGTGAGCAGTGTTGCCTTTCATTCTGTCTTTGATTTGTACAGATTATCAGAGTAGTGGTAACACTTGAGCTTCACTTATGGGTGTTTTGTAGGAGATTATTTTGTAAAGTTTCTTATACTGAAAGTCATTCTTCCCGTTAGCTTTCAAGATTAAATAAAAATACACGTTTCTGAAAAAATATTTCCTTAAGGCTTTCCTCAAAGTGGTTTTAATTGCTGTATATTTCCCAGCCTAAAATTTCCAGTGTTTAACAACAGTTCAGTATAGTTGTTTTTTTTTTTTTTTTCTTCTAAGGTAAGGCATATATAGAACCCATTGAGAACCTTACATTGTGTTATGCTGACATCGAATTGTCCTATGTATAAAATGGCAGTGGCCCTGTTAGGAGGTCAACTGTGCATGACTGTTTCTGAAGAATAAAAGATAGGAAATGCATTGCTGGATATCCAAGCCAAGACTTTTTCAATAGTATTCTGTGGTGGGGAAGGATCAGTGTTTGTGAAATGAAATTACTGTCTTTCCTCTATGCGTAAGAGGAGCAACACGGTTTTACATGTCAAAAAATTTAACAAATAAACAGCCCTGTTTATGTGTAAATAATGCATCTCACCTAGGAATTTCTACAAGATAGCACTGTGAACGTTTATTACACTGTTCCCAATGGTTTTGCACAGAACATTGTAACTGGGTTAAATAAAAACGTTGAGGTATTTTTGTTTCTGGACAGCACTGGGTTCTTTCATCCTAAAAGAAATTCTGTGAGGAGCTTCTGAAGGCCACTTATGGTAACACGATATTAAAGAGTATTTTCAATAGCTATTATGCTGCAAGCTGGAATTTAAGGATTTAGCCTTCTGGATAGGCCAAATCTAGAGAAATTCAAATATCTGATTTCCATTTGTATTTCCAGTTCTCTGCATCATTTGTGTTGAAGGCAATATGGGCTGTTAAATGATGCAAGTTCAATTTTGCTCATGATAGAGCTTTCAAACTTCATGGGTTTTTGAGAAAAGACAACAAACTGAGCAAATAGTGGTGAGTACTGTCAAAAATAACCCCAGGAATAGATATGTTAGGCAGTTTGAGGTAACGATTTCAGCTGCCTCTTATCCCAAAGGGTCTGTTCTTCCTCCTCCCTTGCTCTTTTGGTGATATTCTCATTTCCTCAATAGCAACTTCTTGTAGTATACTCCTGGCTCTGTACCAATTGTGCTGGGTTATGCATTACAGGTTGTATTACACACAGTTATTCAACAAATATAAATATATAATTATCAAGCTATAACACTTTTAATGTTTTCATTATTGATGTTTTTCAAAATATCTCAATGTTTTCTTAAGCAAAACAAGTCTATTATTGGGATACCATAATTTAATGCTACTAGTTAAATTGTAGCCATTTGAATTCAGTTTGAGAGTTCAATCACCCAAATAATTTTAATGTCGGTACTGGGCTCAGGCTCAAGGATCTCTTTCAGTTTTTGACAGTCAATCTTAGAGGAACAAATGGAAAAGCTTATGCAAGGTGGCTGAGTGAAATATCGTAAAGCTAGCCTTGTGGTGAAGTTTCTAACAAAATATACTTTAAGGTGTTTTTTTGGTAAAGAAACAATTATTGGTGAATTCTTTTCCTACAATGTTTGAGAAGTGTTTTTGTTTGTTTGTTTGTTTTTTAAAAAAAAAAACACCTGGATTTTGATCACTTCAACAGACTATTCATATTAATGACTGAGCAAAACCAAGGAAATTCCGTATTTTTTAACTCTTGGTATTTATTTCAAAAATTGTGGTGGCTTTTCAGTTTTCTTAGAGCTTGCAAAAGCATCTTTCTGTTTTCTAGAAGCATTTAATTGTAGTTAATTGGGTTCTCAGACATCTTGTACAAAAAGTTCTATAATTATTTCAGAATTAAGTTTTTGTTTTTTTTCCTGAAGACCAAAACCTCAAAGGACGGCAAATTCAGTGATCCCTTAGGTAAGGGAAACAAGTCTACAACAAATACTAGTTCCAAAAAACAAACAAAAAAATATTTATTTTTTTAAAAAAAAAAAAAGCTTTATTCTAAGTGAACTTCTGAGGTATGGATTATGTAAAATTTTTATCCACAGACAGCTGTATACAAGACTTTTTTTTTGGATGAACATTTTGGTGTCTTTATGCTCAGACATCATTTGAGAAGAAAATGTTCTTCATCATTAGCCTGGTATTTTTTACTGGTAGCAAAGAGCACCTTTCTCAGGCATTTGTTTCAAGTCAGCACAACTATTTGCTTGCTGTGTGACTTTTGCTCTTTATATGCATATGATAAATTCAGCATGTAAAAGACAGTGGAAGGGAGGAGCAACTGGCTTTGTTTACAATGCAGTATTTTGTTGCTGGCTTATCTTGATCATGCAATGTTATACAAATGGGAATCTGCGCACATCTACAAGAAAAATGTCTTAATTTTGTATAACTCAATCTAATTACCTGTAGAGATTTCTTCCCATACACATTCGTGGATGACAATATAAGACTTGATCGTTTTTCATGTTTTGCTTGATTTTCTGAACAATTATTGTCGGATTAATGGTTTAAATAAAATTTAAGCAGACTCAGTTTGATTTGTTATTTAACTGAAACATTAAATGAAGCTGATAGAAATTTTTAGTTGTTTTGTAGACTCCAGCAATCTTACTGTTGTCTTCTCCCTGCTTATGCAAGCACAATTAAACCAAACTTGAATGTTTTTTTTGCTAATTTTTCAAATTAGCAGAAGGCAAATCTGAAGAAAAAAATATTAAATTTGAAAACACCTAAAAGGAAATGGCAAGATTCACTTTTTTTCAAATCAAGCTTGTGTTGTGAAAGTTAATCTGATTCAATTAGGAAAATCATCCCTGAAGGCTTTTCATAAAACTATAAAAAGTCAAGCAAGGCTAAATAATTGCATAATGCCATGAAGTAATACAGTGTTTGGTAATATTCTAGGAATAGCTGATGCATAAACACAGTAAATTGCATATATTTCAGCCTTGGGTTTACATCTGTAATTTGATGGTTGTTTTTCCTGTGATTCTTAGGTGCTGCAGTAGCTGGAATTTACAGAGTAGCAGGAAAGAATATGGCTCCCTTAGAAGCTCTTGTCTTTGGTGTTGGACAGACAGTACTGACACTAATTATCTCATTTTCAAGGATTCTTGCAACGCTCTGAGGCTTATGTAAAAAGAATTTCAACTAGCCTAAAGAAATCTGTGATCTGAAGAGAAGCTTCCTGAAGTGGATTCAGCAGCTTATGAACTTGAATGCTAGTGCAAGAGAAAGGAAGCGATGTGGAACCTGCACTACAAATCTGGAGGTTCAGTCGAATGAACAGACTGTCCTCTAGTGTCTGAACTCTTGTACTTCTGCACTGTGCCTTATGTGCCTCAGTCGTAGGCAAGGTGCGATCCCTGTGTGCAAAGTTGAGATAAAGCACCTTGAGTAGCTGCCAGTCAGGCTAATGCTTGGTGATAGGATCATTGTTCTTATCAGTGTTTTAATAAAAACAAAGGGACACTCCTGAAAATTGCAGTATGTGCCAAACTTGGAGTTCAGTTCTTAACTGTTGGTTGGTTGAGCTTTATTGAAATTGTAGATATAGAAGAATGCTGTGGATATACACTGCGTTTGACTTAAGGGGGAGTAGTAAGATAACTGACCTTTGTACTAACGTAATCTCTTTGAATGCTGAACATTCTTATTCAGCATTAAAAACAACAGTTAGGTCCAACTTAAATCCCATCAACATCTGTCTACCACTTAAGAACTACGATTTTACTAGTCCTGATGTAAATCCGATGGTTACCGGCCCCTCTGAAAACCTTAGAAAAGCTACTTACTGCAAGTAAGCTCCCTTTAAGTACTGATAGGACTATTAACCCTACATATACTCTTTAAGGAACAGACAAATGTAATACAGACTTTGAAAGTATACCTATGATGAAGATGGAAAGGGTTTTCTTTAAAAAAAAAAAAAGTCTTCTATTGAACAAAAATATTAAGGTTGCTTAATAAAACAGTTATCTTACTTTGGAAGTTTGGAAGTGGGGCAGCACTAGTGTATTTACTACCTTGTTTCTGAACACTTTGTATCCTTGGAAAGGTTAAGATATACCTGGAACTTTCAAATACATAGCTTTCTGTAGAGTTTGTGCATTTCTAGTTTAAAGGGACCAGTAGTGTTGTACACGTGAGATGTCTTAAGTGTGAATGTTTGGAGTGAGTAGAAATTTTAATGTTATTTACAAAGAGCAAAACTTAAAGGGCACAAAGTTCTGTATGAGGAATAAGACATCTTTTACATATTTATTTAACTGAATGCTTTTCAGCAGTTGACTATTAATACTGACAAGAATAAATTGCCCAAGTTTTTGCTGTTAAAATGTCAAAAAGACTTTCAGAGCTGTTGAAGTCACTGGCACTGCTGTACAGCTAAAATAGGGTTAAAATACAATTTACAATCCAGCTTTATCACTTTGCGCTACAAAACAGTATAATGAATTAACCTGCTTGCTGTTATTTTTCTTCCACATAAACTGTTCTTTCTTTTTAAAGTGCTAAGGATGCTAATATTTTTTTCAAAGTATTTTCATTTTTTTGAAAATGTACGAAGCTACAGGCTATGAAGGGAACAATGTAAAATGCAGGTTTATAAACCTTCTCAGTGTTACACTTCTAGCTTTGAATCACTTTAAAATGCTGTATTATAGGAATACCTATATTTTCCTTACTTTGATTTCGAAACTCACTTTTCATGGCTTTATTATTTTGCTTTTACTTTCTGCTGATACTTTTTGGAATAACAATCATAGCACTTTAATAGGCAATTAAGTTATTGCATCTGTCAAAATGCATTTTAAACTTCTCCCCATTGTCTTACAATATGAGAACTGGTTTCAGGTATTTAATTCAAATGGAATAATAAAATAATGATATTTCTCCTAATGTGCCTTGTAACACATTTTTAGGGGAGAAGATTTTTAAAAGTTGCTATCTCTTCATTGTTGTTCTTTTTTAGGTATTATGAATCAACTTTGTTGGATGAGGCATATTGAATAACTGACTTTAAAGTGTTTGTGTTTGACAACTTAGAAATACTTGTCTGGATCAATAACAACCCTCTCACAAAGCATTGAATTCAGTAATTTAAAATGTCTCATGGCTTTACCTCACCCTGAATCTTGTTCCCAGTTTCCAAATTACATTGAGCATCTTGATTCTTATTACATGGGTTTTATGCTATCAGTGTTCAAAGGCTTGCTTTATTTCACTAACTTACTCTTATCAGACCACTGCTAACTTAAGAAATTTATGTAACTAATAAAATTTTATTGATGAACTTCATTCTTCATTTTAATTGTAGTGCCAATGATTTTTTTTGCCATTCTAACCTTCCTCCGTTGATGGGGTATCTTTTCAGGTGTTGAATAATGTTGAATAACCTTCCTCCAAATAATTTTTATTGTGTAGATTCATTGTAATCGCTTTTAAAGTGGTTAGGTGCTTATTTATCTCTGCTTTATATGACATTGTCTAGCAACAACAAATAGGCAGTTAATGTAGTGCCTAGCTGGTGTAACAGACAAAGTTTTTAACTGTGTCTCGTGAGGAATAAATAAGGATGACTAGTTTGTCTATGAAATGTTCATTGATCATGGCATGAACTTAATAGATAAAAATTCCAGTAGAGAAAACAAATGCAAGTGGCCTTACGTCTCTGAAACTTGGAGGCTTCATTCCACATCCTTAGGAACGGCATTGTTAAACTTGTAAAAAGTGCTCTATTCAAAGCACAGCATGTGTATATATGCTATTTATATAAATATATGTATGAATTATGTTTTGGAGGCCTATTCTGTCCTTTACAGAAAGTAACAATAGAAATAACTTGCCCAAGAAAAAGAAAATAGCTTAGGATAACCTATGGGTTTTTTTCATCATTACTAGGCTACAGAAGTATCTTGTGCGTGAATGGCACGGATGGTACTCTGCTTTGCTTTGGACAATAAAGCATTGTGCAGATGTCTACCCAGAATCTTTTAGAGCTATCTTTTAAATAGCTCTGCATGTTTCTGCATCGTATCCCTAAGCACGTTCTGTGCATTGTTAATTATTAATTTATAGTAGAGAACAAATACATCAACGCAGCTTAAATCTTTGGAGGAAGCAGGAATACTGAATATACTGTTTCATGTGAAAATGCTTCTGTTGCTTTGTTAAAAGCTGCTATTGTTAAAGATTTGTATGTTCCACACAATTCTGACTTACTGATGTAACCAGAAATCTTGTTTTCAGAAAATCTTCCAAATAGCTATTTTTTTATTTATCGGTAGTTACAAGTTTAAGAAAGTAATCTGTGTGCTGTGACTAATGGTGTAATTTGAGGTTTGCTGTTCAGTGTCTTAAAGAAACCAATAACTTAACCAGTTTTGAATAATCAGTGTGGACCAAAGACAGGATTCCTGATTTTATTACTTGTAGCTTTCTCTTTTTGAAGTACAGTGTTTTTACTATTCTGAAGGAAACGATACTGAAGAAGGAATGCCGATATTTATTTTGGTTACAGTTTATATCTATTTGAATTGTGTTGAAGGATAGATACGTAATGCCATTGGAGAGGAAGCTGGAGTCAAAACTCTAATACCTGTAAGAATGGTTCTCATTGTTTTCTGTTTTATGCATTTCATTTACTAAGCAGATGCTAATAATGCCTTTCTTTCATCTTTCATTGTCTTACTGAGTCACATGGTTTTGTATATGTCCATTCAAAATCATATATGTCTATTTCCATGGAATAAATTAATTTTCTTCAGACACAGTATTCCTAGATGTAATTGAGTGTGGATGAATCAGTTTAGACCAAAAAGAAGTATGAATCTTAACAAGGTTCTAGAAGAACAATTGTGAATGTGATGAGATTATTTTTAGTTACTTTTCTCTTTCTGGAAATATACCTTTTAATTGTTTGTATATCAGCTATGGGGAAAATGCAAAGACTGGTCAATAGGATGAAAACTGCAACCGTATACCAAGCACTTTGAGATAAAAACAAAATTGAGAATTTCATTTTAAATTATAATGGAATGCTACATATATATGAGAGAAATAAATGCAACTATGAGGAATGAATTGTTTCCTAGAGATTAAGCACTTTCCCATGTTCTTCTGCGTCCATTATTACAAGTGAAAACCAGTAAACTGCTTTGAGTAATTTTTGTTTTTTACAGAAATTGTTTGGTTAATTTTTACTTCTCTCTTGATTTATGCCTGTGGTACCACAAGCATGAGAAACAGTATAATAGGTTATTTTTAGTAATTTGGTGGTTTGAGAGTTTTACATACAATTCATACTTGCGTCCATGGAAATTTTAAAAAGTCACTGAAATAATGTAAGACTCCCGGTAAACTTTTTTGTTATTTCTATCCTCTTGTCAGAGGGACTGGGAAGTGGTTTGGGATGTTCATCACATAAACTTGTTATTCAGCATGCTAATGAACATGCAGAGTCCACAGTTGTGTATTTGCTTAGTCTTGGGTGACTAATAGCTTTGAGGAATAAAAGAATGGAAGTCCTGTGGGTACTGGAATAAAAACAACACCTGAGCCAGTAGCCCACTCTACCCTACCCAATCACTAGTTGCCTGTGCAAAACAGAAGCTAATTGAATTGGCAGGAGAGAGACTGGGTAAGAAATCCACTTTTGAACAATTCCGGGCATGCCGAGCTTCTATCTTAAACAGTTTTTTGAATTCAACTTCTAAATAAAACACCTTCTACTATTTTTGTGGTTTTTTTTGTGGGTGTTGGGGGTGGGGGGGGAACACAATCTTTGGAGCAATAAGAACTACTGTAGCTGGTGGTCATAAATAAGCAAAACATGCAAAAGATGCTCACTTTGTCTATATTCATTCCTTCGGTGTTTAGTGTCTCTTAGTATGTTAGCAGTTGAAAAGAAATAGCATGTTCCACCAGCTTTCACAAGAGGTTGGAGTCTGATATGTCTGAAAATAACAGCTAACATGAAACATTCTCAGTGCTTCCATGAAGCCAGCATGATAGAAGTTTTCGTATCAGCTTGCCTACTACTTTTGTGAAGTGTCTTTTTATTTGTGTGACTCATAGCTCTGGTGATGAAATTAATGATGAGGCACTTAAGTAGGTGAAGTAAATCTTGGCTCGTTCTCATAACTCCTTTCTCATAACTGATTGTGTTACCTAGAAGAAATAAACATTTTAAGTATAATTGGCTTATGAAGATGTGCTTCATTTCAGATTAAGTAAATCAACTCGACAATCCAGATTTATCAAAATCCATTTTCTTTACTGCTGGTCGTGGCTTAGCTGTATGTTTTAAAGCTGATCTATCAAGCTCTGATGTCTGCACCAGAGTCAGCTGAGTCATTTTTAGATCATGCTTTTAAATCTCCTGACTTAAAAGTTCATGTTGCCAGAAGTCATAGGCAGAGGACAGGATGTAAGCTGTTTGTGCCAGCAATATTTGTCAAAAATTGCTGATCTTGCTAGCATATATACCATACTATAAGGTATGCTGCCAAGATCAACAACTGGAAAAATTTAAATTTGAAATTCAAAAACAAACAAAAAATTTGAAAAATACAATACACACACACACACACACACACACACACACACAAAAGGCTAGAACATAACTTTATTTGAACTGTCACCAGAATTTAACATATATATGCATAAATACATACAGGCAAAATACCTCTTGAATGTTTTCTTTTTTAATGTCTAGACTGGAAGCAGCCCAAAATGAAAATGGCCGTTTAAATCCTCAGCTGTTGCTTCAGAAAGATAGTGTTCTTTGTGTACAGGTGAATTTAACACAGCTGAAAAAAATGTAGTGGATTAAAAGACAATTTTTGTAGCCTATCAATTCAGGGAGAAGTATTGTACTCTGTTACAGCAAGGAAGTCTTCGGGTAGGTATCACTGTGTACTTGACTGCACATACTTTGATTTAAAAAAAAAAAAAGTTGTCATAGAAGGTAAACTTTAATCTGAGTACATACTGTTTGATACTTGAAAGAAAGATTGTGTGCTGATAACAAGCTGTTTCCTCTGACTTGTGCCTGAAGTTATACTTGAAAACAGTTTGTGCATTAAGTTCAAATGTAATGACCAAGGTGTCTCAAGTCTGCAGTGATGTACAATTTTACTCTGAAGTCTAGTAAATGATGTAGAGAAGTGTTCTTTAATGATGTGTTCTTTCAGGAACGCTTTTTTTTTTTCCTTCCCATGCTTCTGGTTGTTCATTGTAGCCACTGAAGACTTTTAGAAGTTACTTCATGAATACTACTAAGATTTATTAGTGGTTAAAAGGAATGGATAATACTTCCTTTTGTGTTTCTTTTGTGAATTGGAAAGGAAGTGTTAAGGCCAAGTGAAAAAGGGAAATTTTGAAAGAATAAATGGATGATCATTTTAAAAATGACATTTTTATTTGAAATCTAACTTTTAAATTTAAAAGTTACTTAATATCACCATTGTACAATCTGTTTCCAGATTATCCATCATCATAAGGTATACTGTTGAAGCTATCAGAGCTAAAAATCTCAAGTCTTCTAAAATACGTTGATAACTTGGTTGAAGGTTTCTACTCATTGAAAATGTGCTCAACTTATATACAGATAATGCAGTTTCAAAAGTTCTTAACATTTTTGTTGTTTTCAGAGGATAACCGGGTATTTATGTAACTAAACTTTTGACTGTGGCAATATATAGAAGAGCAAATAATTCCTTAGAAATATTTATGGAATCCACTTATGATAGTTAGCCTTTTTCTAATTGTAAAATAGATAAAGTATTTGACACCTATACCAAGGACTGCAACAGCTGAACTGTAAGTTTTACAAATACAGACACTGTTATGACCATCCCAATCTGGCTGCGCAAATAAGGAGGGGTCAGAAATGGGAGTCTGAAAGTCTTTAAAAATTAAGAAGGCAAAATTAGTATTCATTTAGCCCATGGAAAATGGGCTCATGTGTTAGTCCATGTGTTAATTGCATGATCGATGTTCTGCTTTCCGAGCTCCTGCACAGCCAAAGCATGCCATGTCACCTCTTCGGTAAATACTCTAAAATCTCTGCAGTGCTTGCATAGTCTCTGCTCTTTTGTAAACAGCACAGGGCCCTAAAAGGCTGATCTAAGCTTTAGAACAGCTTTATGAGTAGCTTGCTTCTCAGTACTTTCGATTAACTAATAAGTGTCACTCTATTGTCTTGTCATTCACAGGTTGTTGTGGCTATTGCAGCAGCACTGCAGGAAGGCTGTAATTTACCTGCACTGGTCTCTATTCCTGTCTGGTTCTTCTGTCATTCTGTAACTTGCTTGTTACAGTGAGTATAATATTAAGTAAGAATATGGGATGTATTTCTTTCATTACTGTAGTCAGCTGAGGTATACAGGTACAAAACTGCTCTAGGCATGCACTGTCTCATATGCATACTTACTAAGGTAATACAAGCTGGAGTGAAGGCATAGTTCCTCATTAGTACTGGTCTCTCAACACACAAGTGCAATCAGAAGCGCAATGTAATTAAGAATTCTGCAATGTTCTTCCTTTCCTCAGTTCCCAGAAGGGCACTATGGGCTGTGCTTCTCCTATTAAATCTCATGCTGCAACCCATATTTTGTACATGAATGCTAGAATTTTGTCTCTCATACTCGTAAAGGTGGTTTGTTTTGGTCTCCTGTTCCTTCCCCCTCCTCTCCTGCAGGGTACTTGGCCAGTGAGCCAGAATAAATAATTAACAAATAAATAATTAACAACAAATAAATACTTGCTGCAGCCATTTCATGATCTGTTTGCACAGACTAGTCACTGAACAATGGCAAATAATAATAATAATTAAAAGAAGTATCTTGGGCTGTCTTGTACTCAATTTATCAGCAACAGTAAAGGGACTACTTATCTACAAAAGGCAGTACAACGCCTAAATGAAAAGGGTAAGAAGCCCAATTTGAAGAGATGGGTTTAATCTTTGCAGCTGGTGGTTAACACTACATCCAGAGAAGTAGTTATTTGTAATATACAGCAAAACAACTTGTTTGCCACCTCCTTATTTTGACATTTACATTATTTTCAATACACTGTGAAAGCATGAATGTTTTCTGCGTATTTTGTTTTTAACCAGTTAAAGAATCTTACAGCTACTTTCTGCTATCATTTACTTTAGGGTTAGGTTAGTCCCTCTCAAAATCCCTAACTTGCCTGTTTTATTTTCAAAAAATTGAAAGAAGTAACAAAACTTGCAAAAATCTTTCATATTCCTTGAGACCACAGATGTCTAAAGGAGCATCGCTTTGCAGGGACTCTTGCAGCTTTTGTTTTGAGTCCTCAGGGATGTGACACATTGTTATCGCAGTTGCTTAGGAATATTTTATTTGCAGGCTTATCTCATACGTGAACTACTTCCCTGGAGACCACACTGCATGGTGTCTCATTGCTGGTTCAATTCCTGTCCTTTTGGGATCCTGTCTTAGAGACTGACCTTCTACTTTCCCTTAGTAGCCATTAAGTTGCTATTGAAAAAATGCCTGCTGTTCAGAAAGGTGCACAGTGGTGTCTGGCATGGGAAAACAGCGCTGTAGTCTACAAAGTTTCAGTGATGCATACACATATATACTGACAGTCATCTCAGGAAAAGCAGAGATGTTTTTGTTCCTGTCTTTGAAATCACAGAATCATAGAATATCCCAAGTTGGAAGGGACCCATAAGGATCATCAAGTCCAACTTCTGGCACCACACAGGTCTACGCAAAAGTTTAGACCATGTGACTAAGTGCACAGTCCAATCGCTTCTTAAATTCAGACAGGCTTGGTGCAGTGACTACATCCCTGGGGAGCCTGTTCCAGTGTGCAACCACCCTCTCAGTGAAGAACCTCTTCCTGATGTCCAGCCTAAACTTCCCCTGCCTCAGCTTAACACCATTCCTGCGGGTCCTATCACTGGTGTTAACACAGAATAGGTGTTTTTTAATAGGTGTTCTTTATTTTAATTGAGGACATGGGTAAAGCTGCATTACATGTTTGGAAACAGGTTCACACCATCTCTGCATAGAGGAGTGACCCTCTGAAAGTTATGCTGTTAGGAAAAACTCTTATATTCCTAAGCACTTCAGAAAAAGTGTACAAACTGTAATTTTTCACCCAGGAGAGTTTTTATAATTAGCACAGAAAAAAACATTTATTTTCATCTTGCATTCATTAAGCTGTCATTCCAAACTAACCATACAGTCCTGCTTGGAAAAGTAGAACAAAATTTCTATGACAAGGTGATACTCTTAGTGGATGAGGGAAAGGCTGTAGATATTGTCTAAATTTATGTAATGTCTAAATTCCAAACCATTTTTTTTTTTCAGCTATTTAACTTCAACACTGACACTGCCTATACCAAGAGCCAGAGGCTTACATACTCAGTTATGTATTTTTTCAGTCCTCTGTCTCTGCAAGTTTTACAGCTAAATGGCACCTTGATGCTGGTGGCCAGTTTTGGGGGTGGGAAAGACTTTTAAACTGTTTCTCATATTATTACTAGGTCTTTGCTTCAGGTACTAAAAGGCAGCAGTGTAGTTTGCATACAATTGGACATGGTTGTATCCTCACATGCTGACTTTTATGTTAATCCTCTGTTTTTAGTTTAACCATGTAGGTTTATGCTGATAATAAACTCTTAAGATAGGAAGGCTGTATCTAATGGTCAACTATCAACACTTTAGTACTTGGTAATGGTTGCTCTGACAGGTACCCAGAACGTACTATTCAAACAAAGCAGTTCTACTTTCTTATTATTGAAAATAAACAATAAATTGTCAGTAATTCCCTTTTCCCTCTCAGGAAGCGCTTAATGGATGTGATTTGAAGTTTGCTTTTAATGCCATGACATTTTTGTGCTTGTTAAGTAGAAAACTGTAAGCAAAAAGCTTAAATATAATGTTGCTGAAAACTTCTGGTAACAATTTTGATATTTAAAAAAAATGTTTATTATTTGAGAATTAAGCAAAAATCAAAATATTTTTCCAAAAATTTTTATACTAAAAGCTTTTCAGAAGAAAGCATATAAATATTTTCATACTACTTGATTTTTAAGTAATATTAACAATAGGAGTTCAGTCTGCCCTAATTATTACTACAGCCATTGATTTATTATTTTTTTGAGGGGGGGGAGGTAAGTGGGGACAAGCATACTCCGTGAAGAGAATATCCGAAACATATTGCAATTCCTTTCTAAAATGACTTTCTAAAATGAACTTCTATATAGTAATGAAACAATTAAAAAAAAAAACACAGTTGATCTGAACTTGTGAGGTCCATTGGTAATTAGGAAGATAAAACTAGCTGATATCAATCACCTCGATTACACTGGGAAACTGCTGATGGTAATTTAAAAACAAAACAATAAATACCCAACAGGACTAATCCTGGCTCTGTGTACAGTAACTCTGCATTCCTGACTAGTTAGATGATCTTTCCTGGAGCAATTATGCATTCATATCCCCAGGGACCCATGTCCTCATGTAAGTGTTAACACACGTTCCTCCCTAGAAGTTTTTGGGCATGTCCAGCTGAGGTCATGGTAATTAGAGATAAAAAAGACCCTTTGGATCACCATGTCTTTCCCCCTGACAATACAATTCTTTTTTTTTTTTTCCTCCAGAGATCTATTTTTCCAAATTTTTGTTTTGTGAAAATAGTTCTCAACTGCTTAGAGGCAGTTGTGTGTGTGGGTCTGCTTCTCTCAGCTTCCTTTCAGCAGCTTGAGCTTCCTTTCAGCTTGCTGAGTTTGGCCAAACCTGTATCTTCATGAGGCAATCAGTGTCCCTGTCCCTGCTCATTCATTTTTTTCTTCAAGCCCCTGCTCCATTAGCCTGTGCCTGTTAGTTCATTTTCTCTTCAAGCCCCTGTTCAGGCGCCATTTGTGGCATAATGACCACATACACACCAGGGTTTCTTTAAAGATCAATAACTTCAATAACTTTTATTGAGGACAGGCTCCCTTCTTATACCATTAGCTAGACAAGCGGTACTTTCCTACTAGCTATTCATTGGCTAACGAATTTGCCCAGCAACAGCAAACATTTAGCCACTTTCATGTCTTAAGGGCTGGAGAACAAGCAGTTTGAGACAGCAAGGGTCTTGTGAATTGCCCTTCTTTGTTCCTTCTAGCTTGCTTACATCCCTCATGGCTTCATCATCAGGAATCCGATGTTATCACCAACCACAGGGCTTGTCAGTCCCCATGGTGATACTCCCACATCCATGCTTGTTTCAGATTAAATAGGAATTTTCAATGCCAACCATAATTCTCCAGAATATTCTTAATTTTCATTTGGAAACATCAGATGCCGACCAATACCATCATAGACAGGGACACTGATTGCAAACAAACCATCCAAGGCTTTATGCTGTTGCCATTAACACTGCATATACAATATGCTTTCAAATGCAGTTTTGTATGTATAAAGAGCCACCACTAGGTGACATGCAGAAAAGGAGACTGTAATATAATAAGAATTATAAGAATGGTTATAACTCTATAAATAGATTTCTATGACTTATAATAGTTATTAATAATTATAATTCCTACATTATAACAAGATTTTATGATAACCTTCACAAGCCTCAGTCAAAACGAGGTTATCTGGCCTATTTAATGTACATACCTCCTTAGTTGTACAGTCCTAACAGCCAACATCACTGTCACCATCCATCAACAGTGAGCAGAATGACTTGCTTTACAAAGATAAAAAGAAACAACCACCACAACACCTTGAAATTTCCTTCTTAGTTCCTACTTTCATCAATTTAGAAGTGCAGGAAACAACTTTTATGTTGTCCTACTGAGATAAGTAACCAACCAGTCCCACTTTACACCAAAAGGGTGTTTTAAAATAACTTGCCTAACTTTGACATTTATCAACTGCCAACAACTATCCTCAGATTAAGAATTCAAAAACAAGTAAATCACCTTTATCCAGCCCACATTACTCCCTGTAACTAACCTGACCTTCAGGAACAAATTTGCTCAAAAAAAAAAAAAAAAAAAAAAAAAGCAAGATACATGCAAATACAGCTGAGCCTGATCATTTTCAGGCCTCAAACTTAGAAGTGCTATGTGCAAACACAGCCAAGTACACAGCATTGTCAAACCTAAGGAGTAAAAATAAGTATTTCACAAACACACTGCCTTTGCAAGGTGTTCCTATGTTTTCCTCCATAGATTACAGAAATAGGAAAAAAAAAATACCATAACCTCCATGCACTAAGTCCAGAGGTCCTAAGGACAAGTGTCTTAGGAGACAAGACAGCAACTCTGGACTCTGCGCAGCAGGAAGGGCGGCTCTTGCCCTGCTGCCAGACCTGAGCTCAGCAGTACAGATCAACACCGCCACCAGATGACGGGAGTGCAGACCAGCGACAGTTACATACAGCAGGAAAATAAAATAAAATAAAATAAAGCGCTAAGACGAATGCGATCGCGCTTGGTAATAAAGCTACATTGTCTATCGTTATCGGCTGACCAACAGCAGAAAATTTGACAAATATTACTTCCCCACGTGTCCACCGTAAATACTGTTTTCCTGTATGTCAGCCAAAAGCGCACCAGGAAAAAAAAGCCAAACATGAGTCATCATCGGGTACCTATAAAAATACCGTGTAACTTCTCGTCTACGGAAAAGCCACCTAAAAGCGATAGAAAAACTTTAAATTTACAACTGGAACCCGAGGAAGCAATTCAGTCATTAAACAGAGAGAAATACGAACACAGTGAAAAAGACTCTTTAGGGCCTGCAGGAAATCCTGGGAATCCCAGGAAACATTACACCAAGCGCAGAGAGCCCAGCACGGGAAGGGAATGGGAGGGGTAGCAAAAAAAGAATTACTAGCTATGTTATAGCCATGCTATGTCAGGCTAAGGAAACAGTTGGGGGGGTGTCCCCCAAGAGGGAATGTGCTGCAATGTTCAGGCAACGATAAAAGGAACAGAAAGCGAGAAGTGTTAGCCAAAGCCAGGCCAGATTCCCGAGTCTCCGGGGGAGGAAGGGCAGGAGGCCGGGCCAGACGCCGGCCTGTCCGTGTGGCCAAGGAGCGCCCCGGCCCCTCCCCGCCCCGCACCTTGAAGTTGCTGGAGTTGACCCACGCCGCCAGCTCGTCGATCACTTTGTCGAGCCGCTGCGGGTCCTGCTCCACGTCCGGGGACGCCGCGGGGTCGCGCAGGTACTCGAGCAGCTCCTGCCCGACCTGCAGCCTGCGGCCCACGTCCTTCTGCTGCACCTGCTGACAGAAATGATCCATCCCGGAAGGCTCCGGGACGGGACGGGACGGGACGGGACGGGACGGGACGGGACGGGACGGGACGGGGCTCCAGCTCCTCAGCGCCGCAGGGCCCGGCCCGACCTCCCCCGCGCCACGCCGCGGCGGGGCCGGCCCGCAGCTCGCATCCCCTCGGACCCCGGCAGCCTCGGCAGCCCCCGGTCCCCTCCGCGGGGGAGCTCCGTGCCAACGGCCGTCCCCCTCTCCCCGCGGGCCGGGCCGGGCCGAACCGAGCCTCGCGGAGCCGCCCCCGCCGCCGTCCCGGGCAACTTGCGGGCCGGCGCCGGACTGACGGGGCGGGGCCCGGCACGGGGCGGGGCCCGGCACGGGGCGGGGGCTCCTCATAGCCCCGCCCCCTCAGCAAGGCCGCCCTCTCCCGCCCCGCCCACCGCCTCCACGCGGGTTGTGGCCCGCCGGAGGAGGCGCATGCGCAGCCCGCCCGCCCCGCTGTCCCCGAGGCGCTGAGGGGAGGGGCCCGGGGCTCTGAGGGGGTTTGGCGGCCGCAAGGGGGGCGGGGGGCTCAGGGAGGGTGCGCGGAGCCCGCCTGTGGGTTGGGTGCCGTAAGGTCCGTAGCGGCTGGAATTGCTGTTCCGGTGTCAGTTTTAAATCACAGACCCACAGAACCGTAAAGCTTGCAAAAGACCTCCAAGGTTGCCTAGTCCAACCATCACCCTCCCACCACTGTCACGCACTAAACCATGTCCCTAAGCACCACGTCCGACCTTTCCTTGAACACCCCCAGGGACAGTGACGCCACCACCTCCCTGGGCAACCTGTTCCAATGCCTGACTGCTCTGCTCTTTCGGAGAATAAATGTTTCCTGATTTCCAACCTAAACTTCCCCTGGCACAACTTGAGGCCATTCCTTCTAGTCCTATTGCTAGTTATCTTTGAGAAGAGGCTGACCCCCAGCTCCCCACACCTTCCTTTCAGGTAGTTGTAGAGAGCGATGAGGTTTTCCCTGAGCCTCCTCCAGACTGAACTGTATCCCTCAGATACTCCTCATAGGACTTGTGTTCTACGCCCTTCACCAGCCTCTTAGCCCTTCTCTGGACATGCACCAGGGCCTCCATGTCCTTCTTGTAGTGAGGGGCCCAAAGGTGAACAAAGTACTCAAGGAGCAGCCTCACCAGAGCAGAGTTCAGGGTCTAGATCCCACCAGTGTTGTTCTGCTTAGGCCCAGTCTGTAGCCTATGCCAGCTCCTGCACTTACAGACAGGATTAATTAACAGGTGGAATTAACAAGCTGAGTGACCATTGGTGCCAGTGAGCTGGGCTGGCCACAAGTCCTGAGGGCAAAAGCAGAAGACTCAGTAGGTTGGAAGTAGAGCAACTCCCTTCAGTGGCAGAAAAGGGTGATGCCATCCCTCCAGCGCTTGGAGACATCACATTACACTAAAATGCAAGCTGCTGTTTGTATAGGCCATCCTTTTCTTCCCGTGCTATCACATATAAGGTCCTTCCCTTGTTTTTACACCCCAGTTGGTGTTTATTTGGCCTTACGTAAACAAGGTCAGGGAAGTAATATTTTCCTTTTTCAATGATAGTCGTTGTGTCATGAAAGCCCAACTTAGTTTCAAGACAACACAGTCTGGCTGTCTAGCTTGCCTCATTAGTGCTAATACTGGGGATGGGTGAGACTGCAGGAAAACAAGGTACTCCCTTCATTTGGCTGCAGGATTTAGATAGGTAAAAAACAAGTTTATAGCAACCACACCTCCAAGCTGAGGAGCCACATCTCCAAGCTGCAGTTTCACAGCAGTTTAAACCAAACTAAATTGGTGCTACAGTGGTCCCACTTGCTTGCATCTCACAAATCCCATTTTCAGGATGTTGCACATCTGTTCTGTCCCATGCGCTGACATCTGCATGACCTCACACAATAGAGATCTACATCCACAAGCACAACAGAAGGCAAGACTACAAGCAAGCAACCCTTTGCTGATTTTGGTGCGATCTAGCACATTTGGGATCCCTTCCCTGATTGGACCCTAGGCATTGAAATAATAAAGACGAAGGCATTGAAATAGTAGATACATTTAAAACAGAAATGTATGTGTTATGCTTTGAGCCTATTGTAATTACACCAAAAGATTATCAGTCTCTCAGTTTGTTTTCACAGCTGGATTTCCCTATGCACATATAAAGAACTACAATTTTGGATGCAACTGAATAGTTCTTGTCTTGTGTGTGCAATGCCATTTTCCAAGAAGGGCTGTAAAATGTTTGCATATATTTATGAATTTCTTTTATTGAAAATGTGACCTATGAAACAAATAGAAATATAAAAACAAACAGCAAAGAATAAATGTCTGTATTGTCATATTTTTTTTTTCAGTGCATTAGAAATCTGATTCTGCGGTATTGTCAGTTTAAAGAGTAACTTTCTCACTGTGATTTTCAAAAGTAACTGCCGATCTAATAAGCTTAACTAAACAGAAAATAACTGAATAGATTGTACTGGCCTCTTAGAATATCAAGAGCTGTAAACAGTTTCAGTCCACCAGATGAACTTTGCAGAAAAACAGTGAAAACAACAAAATGCCCCCCTCCCCCCAAAAACAAACAAACAAACAAACAAAAACCCTTTCTTGTCGTCCAAGTTAATGTCAGTCTCTTAAAATAGAAAATCCTGACCAAAAAAGTGGTGGAAAGCTCATGGCAGTAGCTTCTCTGAAGTTCTCTTGATTCAAAGCAAATAAATTGATTAGATAATCTAATAATCTGTGAATGGCACTGAAGCTGAGGGGGAGGGTAAAGTATAATCAGGTACACGCTTGAAATGTGTCAGACCAAAGACAACATCGTACATCTATGTTAAGGGTAAAAAGCCATGCTGGGATATGTGGCTTTTGTTTTTCTCCATTTTATGTTACAAGAATTTTTTTAGAAAACACAGGAGGAAATAACTGTTATAGCCTTGCTGTAAAATCAGAAGATTAAACTACTGCATTTCATCCTGACAGCACTCATGCCTTTAGATACTGGATGGATGTTGGTATAACACAAGAAAAATGGTAGCCCTTTTACTGCTGAGGTGCTCTGGTACAATTGTGACATTTTCCTTTGAAACCCAAACATTGGACAGATTTTTTTTTTTTTTTGGTGGGTGGGGGGAACAAAAAAATGTTGGTTCATTTCTTTCTCTGCAAACAAACAGTATTTTCAATAGAACTTCTGTTTTTGCTTCTGGTACACATTTGCTTTTTTGGCAAGGCATGAGCAGCACTCTAACTCTGCATCTAGAGCAGAACTCCACGTTGGACAAAGAACATGGTTTTGTTGTTTGATATTCTCACAAAGTCCTAGTGGACTTTATACACAGGGATGTGGGCTAGGCTCCAAGAAGAAGGCATTTTTTTATTCAAGCCAAAGATCTTTTAAAGCCTCTTATTTGCAGTTAAGGGGATTGCTTCTTTTGGAATGCAATCTTCTTTTTGATATGCAAGCATGTGAGGGTAACTCCACTATTCTGGTGTATTTGTAACAATGCATAATATTTTGTAAAGCAATTAAGCCCCGTAACTGAATGCTGAATCAAAATTTATTTCAATCTTCTGAGTATGACTGGCTAGCAACAAGAGCAATTACACCGGGAGCTGAGGTAAATGACACTAATTCACTGAGGCACATTTCCAACCTGAATTGCACACCAAACCTGTTTCTACGCCCCCACCTCATACAAGCACGTTGCACAATTATTGCATGTAATGTACTGTTCTGAAAAGGGCAAGAATTATTCAGAGAAATAGGCTGAGAAGGAAGAGCGCTGTGCTCTTCATTCCTTTGGCTGATAAGAAAGTGTATCTCATAGTCTGTCTCTGCCTTTTCTTTTTCTAGCAGTAGCTTCAACGGGCCAGGACCTCGTGCAAGCCAGTTGTTGAACTCCTTTTGTGTGCCTGTCGGTCATTCTGACAGTCAAGCTACTTCCACGCACTGACATCTTCTGAAAAACCATTCCTATACAGAAGATGTAATCCCATCAGTGAAAGAACCATAAAAATCCCTTGAAAATCCCTGTGATTTAAAGGTCTCTGTCAAAAATAGGAAGTGCAGGCCATAACAATAAAAATAGAGTAAATTTAAATATGAGTCATTGAAAAAGTTCCTGTAAATTACAGTTGATGTGGCCTCAGTTTGCACTGAATAAGTCTATGAGAAAGTTGTCCTTACATTCCCGGCAGATTCGTCAGCAGCTGTGACAGAGCTTCTGCATGTTCCAGCGCCGGGAGGCTTGAGGTCGACGTTGGGATTGGGTCTTGAGTGGAGTCCTTTCATTGTAAACTCCCTTCTCTTAGTGGATGTATTCTGGAGCCACCACATGCTTTTACCTGTGTATAGGTCAGAGATAATTTCATCGAGGTTTGTCTTAGTGCTCTCAGGAGGTAAAACGGTGCCATATTGTGCACTTCAAAGTTCAAATATGTCATTTTTTGCTGTCCATGTTGTACAGGTATTTATTTCACACCTTTTCTTACATTAATTTTAAAATGATGATGTGTTATTTTTAAAGGTGAATTTATCACTGTTGATTACTTTTAAGAATCATTTGAATTCCCCCCTCCAAGATGAAGAATATCAGAATAATAAAGTAATAAATATCTTCTGAATACCATTCAATCAATGCACTATGGAAAGTTCTTCTCGTGATGCCATATCTGTAGCAAGCTAGTTAAAGTATTAAAGCCCATTTTTGTCACAAGGCCTTAATGGTGAAATCAGTTGTATCTGTGCTAAAACTGTATTCAGTGCCTTCTAACTTTTGCTACATTTTGGCCTGTGCCACAGATGTTTTTGAAATTACACATTTAGTATAGATCATTTTCATTTGCCTGTTTATGAAAGAGTCAGAAGTTGCAACTAGAAGTCTGGTATTTTTCTTATATATCCTAAGTCAATTTGATTGCAGAAATAGGAGGTGAGGACATGCAGGCTGATGCCTGATTACTGGATTACTCGAAGGCATTAGTTTGTTCTTTTTTGTCAAATATGTTTTAACACGTAGATGCTGCAATTATATAATTCCACCTGATAAATCTTTTATGATTCATTTACTAATTTTCTAGATATGTGTGATACAGAGAAGGGAGAATAAATTAAAAGACACAGGTAATGAAAAAAATAATAACATAGATCAAGATAATAGTGTCAGAGTTAACCTGTAAGTGGCCGTTTCTCTATTATCGTGTCAGTCTGTGACATCTTCTGTAATCACCCAAAGTACTGCTACATAACTTAGTGTCCTGTATTTCCTTTCGGTACAGTGGCAGAGATATTTGTCTCTAGTGGTAGGGATACCTAGCTGTTGTTTGTCAAGAGTTGTTTGTCAACATGCCTCTGCTGTGTCTAATATATTTGTGTAATGTTGCTCTATAGTAGTTGCTGGAAAAAAAAAAAAAAAAAAATGTGATGCAATAGCTCATCACAGTGGTCCATCAATATAAAATTTTCTATCTTGTTAAGCTAAAGAAATCGTTGCAGGAAGCACGGCCGAAAGCACGACAGACACCAGTATAGTCAGATCATGCTCCATTTTATTGCCTGAATAGCCTAACTTTTATAGAGAACTTAACAGGGGCGGACAGTGTTTCACACAAGATTATTGGTCAAAAGCACTCAGACAAACAACTACAAGAAAACAACCCCACCTGCAAGAAAACAACCCCTTTGTGATTAGCAGTCACATAGACCTTGTCCTTGAAGCCAGCTACTGGTAACAGTATTTTTCTGAATTCCTCAATTGGGCGATGTGGGAACACTGTCATGGGAACTTCTCATAGTTGCCCTTGTAGCGTGGTTTGCTCAGCTACAGCAAGTCATGGGATTTTTGCTGATTCAAAAAATCCCTCAACAAGAAATTAAACTTTTAGTTAAAATACTTACAAGAGCTTTTTCAAATAGATGCAATTACCTTAATACTGAAATATTACTGTTTCGACAGCAGTACGAAAGAACTGGAAAGGGATCCAAAGCACTTGGTTCATCTGACCTGAAAAGTAAAAAGTAGCCAGCACACAGTGTACTGCACAGCAGTATCAAGGGACGTATGTAGCTGGGTATATTTTGGCCTTGGACTGGCAAAATCTCTATTCTTGCAAAACAAGTCGTGGCATTTTTATTATCTACATGAAACTTGCAAGACAGCAAATGTGCTAAACAATATGAAAAAAATAGTGTGTTGACACTCATCCTGGTGACACCAACACGGCTGCAGACTGTACTCACATTTACAGAAAGCAACTACTTCTCATTGCATGGGAATTAGAAGAGAAAGGGGGAAAAAAATATCTGCTTTCGCTTTCTTCTCACCCTACTCCCCCCATTATTATTTTTTTTTCCATCATGCAAGCCCTGCTATAAACAGAACCAGATCCAGCAATCATTTATTACTTGAGTAATTCCTACGTTACAAGGATTGATCAAGAGAGTTTTTGTTACATAAGTAACCTGCAGCGTTCTTCCTCAGTAAGAGAAAGTTTTCCCTTACATACATATAGTTTGATGAATACCTAAAGTTTCAAGCATATATCTTGTTTGTCTGTTTGTTTGCCATAATGAATTGTATGCATTTAGATTTTGGAACGAATGTGAGCTAGATGAATTTTTTGGCAGTCGCATAATTTTAACAGGCTTTTTCTTTAGTAGGTTGAAGAATCTTGTCTGGTTGCTGGAGAGCTCCCTCTAGTGGTGAATTTTCCAGGTAGCTCTTACAAGCGTTCCTGTCCAGAGGCACGCAGTTGAAACTTTACCTACCCTATCTCTTACTGGTAATGATGTGCAGAAAAAAGAAGAAGCCACGATAGCAGTTGCTAGAAATATTTTTTTTATTGGCTGTTCGCCTTTCTCACATAGAAACCTATTAGGTTGGCATGGATGCAAATATAAATTGGTATTTTGGGGGGATATCTGTAAATGAGCCTGCATAAGAAAAATTTTAAGCACTAGAAGTTCTAGAAAAAAAATAAATGTTAATTTGCTGTGACCAAATGCATGATATGAAGGATCTATGCAATAGAAGGGTGTGTGTTTACTAAATCACTTTACAGTTCAGAACTCAGGTCGTCTCCCATGCTACAGGAGCACAAATGGCTTGAAAAAATAAGTTCAGAACATCCTCCCTTCCCCCAAGTCCCTACATTTTGTTCCTCACCTGTGAAAAAATGCAGATCTACAGCATCAGGGACTGAAGCAGCAGCAACAAATCCTGCAAACCTCTTTTGCAATGTGGTGGAGTCACTGGAACCAGCTCTTTATGTCTCCTAGGAGAGAGGCTGAGTCACACTTTTTGGTACCTCTGCATCAAAGGAGTGTGGAGGTTGCTTCTAAACATACAGACAGTGCACTGATTTCCTGTGGTTGAAGTTAAAAGGCTGAAGATGGCTTGTCCAGATCTTCCAAGCTAAAGTAAATCATACTGTTTTAGAATAAAAATTAAAATGAGGTAATAGCCATAAAGTGCAGCTATAAAATAACAGTGCCATGAATCAGGTAAAATAGTCAGAAAAGTAAGGTGGGTTACATGGGAATATAGTAAGATTGGTTTTGTGTATATGTGTCTTGTGCATTCTGAAATACTGTTTAAATATAGTTGGACTCATAGAGTTGCAATGATCAGATAGCTTGCTTCATCAATAAAATATTTAGTCCTAATAAAGTATTTAGTCATATATCATCAGAAACAGGTAACAGAATACTTGAATACAAACAACTCAGATTCAGGCAATTTTTGAAAACTAGGGCTGGATTCAGATCCTATGGTGCTGACCAATATCAGGATTTGGGCTTGTTATTTTCTGATCTTTTTTTAGAAGAGGTTGAAGTAATGCAGTGGTATGTACTTATGTGACCTTTTAATGAAAGTATGTGCAAATATTTATTAAATGAGATAACAAAAATGAGTAAGAGTAATATAATTGTCAGAACGTAAATGATACATTTTTATATATACATGCAAATTACCTTAAAAACAACCTGTTTCAAACAACTGTTAATAACAACAACTGACTTTTCTTTGAAATTTTTGAAATCTATGTAGATCTTCAGTTTGCTTTCCAGTAAAATCTACACTAATTTATTTGATGTTTGCATGTGCCTTGTGACACCCACACATAAGAAATTTGATATTCATTTATCTTAATCCATAAAGTTGTAGTTCTGAGATTCATAAAACATTTAGATGCCAATTTAGCTGTATTTTAACAATAAGTTTAGGTATTTTACCATTCCTATACTTTATAAGAGAAGTGAAGATACAGATTTGATACATAGGCACTTTGAGCAAACAAGATTTCTTAAAGTCAAATTATGAATAAGATTTCTGTTCCTCTTTTAAAGCCTCTATCTTTCCAATGAGAAAAGTCACTTGTCGTCAGTCCAGGGCTGGGGAATTATTTCATTATAGACAAATCAAGAAAAATATATGATAATACCTTTTTGTGTAAAATCCCAAGTAATATCATACAAATTCATGGCAGCAGAAGTAGACTCTTTTCAATCTGCTTTAATTGAGTAACCATAGTGTCTGTGATGCCTCAATGAAAAATAAACTTTTGTTCTCTTTTTAGGAGTTTATGATTCATAGCAGAAACATTCTTGTATTCACTACCAGTGTTTAAACATAATAACTGGACTATTTAGAAGTAAATTCCTATGGAAATAAAAATTACTGCATGCCAATGTATCCTGTGTGCTCTGGGTGTTCCAGAACACATTCCCAGTGCATAAGTGAGCATGGGTGTATCAGTTGTCAGAATGTCAAAAGACACTCAGCACTGTCTGTCTCCAGCACACTGCATGTGCACCTATGCAGCAGATGCCTAAACCTTCCAGTCTATTAATTCTCACTGATGTCATACCAAGCACTCAAAAAGAATTGAGGCTGTATGAAAATGGAAGTGATTAGCCAACCACCATCTACAACCAGACTTAAACTTAACCCAGTTTAGATACAAGCTTGCTTTAAACACATCTGTTGATTTTAAACTAGTTTATATGGCAGTCTACAGCCCAATCTTTCAGGAAGGAAAAGACTACAGAGCCTAAGCTAAAATAATAGCAATTTGGAGACAGTGGCCAGTTTGTGTAATAAACCATCTTTTAATTCTCCATTTTAATTTTAATTAATTTTATTTCTCCATTTTTAGGTCTCAATAACACACCAAGCATCCTCATACCAAGCAGATGTTCCTCTAGGTTCACCACTGGCAAAGCTACGCAGGCCCATGTGATGGAGCAAGATAAGCAAAGCAGGTCCCGCGGCAACACCCAGATACATCCACAGTCAGACAAGTCTGTAGTCACAAAGCAGCGCTGAGGTCAAGCCAGTTGGCTGGCACAAATACACAACTGGGGCACTGTCCTGGTTTCAGTTAGAACAGAGTTAATTTTCTTCCTAGTAGCTGGTAGAATGCTATGTTTTGGCTTAGGATGAGAAGAGTGCTGATAATGCCCCAATGTTTTAATTGTTGCAGAGCAGTGCTTACACCAAGCCAAGGACGTCTCAGCTTCTTGCTCTGTCCTGCCAACAGGCAGGCTGGGGGTACAGCAAGAGCTGGGAGGGGACAGACCCAGGACAGGTGACCCAAACTAGCCAAAGGGGTATTCCATACCATCTGACGTCATGCTGAACAACATATAGGGGTGGCTAGCCGGGGGAGGGGGCCGGACTGCTCGGGGTTAGGCTGGGCATTAGTCAGTGGGTGGCGAGCAATTGCATTGTGCATCACTTGTTTGTACACATTATTAGTAGTAGTACTATTATCATCATTGTTATTATTAATTGTTATTATTATTATTGTTATTATTATTTTCCTGTCTTATTAAACTGTCTTTATCTCAACTCACGGGCTTCACTTTCCCATTTCTCTCCCCCATCCCAGAGAGGGAGGGGGGAGGGAGACCAAACGGCTATGTGGTGTTTAGCTGCCAGCCGGGTTAAACCACGACAGGCACAAGCACAGCTGGGGGTTAGAGCTGGAGCTGAAAGGCCTCTTCCAAGAGAAGAGGAGAAGAAGCCCTTAGCATGGCTCCTCGCAGCTGTCTAACCCAAGGTGACAGAGCTACATCTCATCAGTGCCAGCCTCCAGCACCAGCAGTCAGACCCCTGTGGATTTACTGGCAAATTTGGAGTCTTTGGTTCTTTAGCCATAATTAAAATAAGCTAATTTATTTCCCCAACATATACTCTCTCTCTCTCTCTCTCTCTTTTTTTTTTTTTTTTTTTCTTCTCGAGTGTAAAAATACATGCTTCTTCATGTGTACAAGAATGGCAGTGTTGCTTTGTCTTAAATGCTTTACATTCCTGGTGTTGATACAAGTATGAGCACTTGTATCCCACTTCAGTCCCAGAGCTATGTGGTAGAGGAAGAGTAAGAGCAGTAGAACCAGTCCTCACGAACTATTCATTTAATTTTGAGATGGACCTGAATGACAACATCTAAAATTTCAACATAGAGTTTTACACCCACAGTTCACTTTTGTTCATCTCTCTGTTTTTGCTGTGGACCATTTTAAGTGTAAGGAGCAGCTTCATGACTTGAGCTGTAGCCTTGGGCTGAAATTCAGAAATCCAGCAAATCCTGCTGTGATGAGGCTTAGTGTCAGTCCTTACCTAAACACAACTTCCCTTGATTGCAGTGAGTGTTCCTTAAGAATGGATTTCAGAAGTATGCCCAAAAATAGGAATGAAGAACATTTAGGCTATAGCTACAGTTCCCCTTATTTATTCAAGCATTCCTAGGGCATGATGACATTTTCAGAACTAGCACCCAGTTATATGTATTTTTGGAAAAAAAATCAAGACATTCTTCAACAGAGGATAAGAATGTGTTGCTCTCCCAGTCCAATTTGCCTGAAGTATGTATGATGAAAGGAAACCACTTCTGGATTATCCATTTTATTTCTTCAAGCAAACGCTTCAGTCAATGAGATCTTTCTATTTGAGAAGGCTTTTACTGAAGCTGCAACATTCCTGGCATTTTGCAGCACTTCCTTTTTTTCTCTGGGATCCTAGGAGTTTCACAAGGACCATGCTCTCTGGATTTCAGTGGGTCAGACTACAAGGGTGATATTTTCCCTCTTTGGTACAATGTAATTGATATCTTGATGCTGCTTTGAGAAACGTTAACTTGAGCCTAGAGAATGAAACAGATAGGCTATGCCTACACTGTGTTCGAGGTTATTCTATCCATGTTCATGCTGCAGAGTGCTTCCAGACTATTACAGGGATGTCCACACATGAGGATACGCTACAGGTATGTCAAAAAAAGATGACACATCTTTGGGTTTTGAAAGCATTTTTGGAGTATTTATGCAACCTCATGCATTTAAAGATGTAAGCGCATGCAAAACAGAAGCTGCCTCCAAGCCACCATTTCTGGAAACATGAGATTTATGTGGTTTTGTGACCGCATTCCTGGTCAGGCCCAAGAGCAAATATTTTTCAAGAAAAAAATACTTTTGCTGTCCTTACTAACATAAGCTATACCCAAACAGAGGCTATCACAGTCAGCTCTAGAGAACAATGCTGAGTTGATTTGGTCCCCTGTTCTTCTTCAGAAACCACCCAAAACCTAAACTATGCCTCCCACTGTCCGGTTTTAGAGTATCTTGCAGATACTTAGAAATCTGGCACCTATCAGCCAGCTGGCCACCCGTGTGTGTGTTAAACAAAACACCCAGGCACACCGTGCTACTGCTGCAGGCTCTGCAGCAGCATCTTGCTAGGCAGTGCTTGGCATCCCAGGGTTTGGTAGTCAGTCAGCTGGCATTGCTGGAGGAAGGTCTGCAGCTATGGGTGAAAGCCAGGGTGAAAGCCAGAATGAAAGCATAGGTATAGCTGCTGTGGTTGTGCTTGTCTGCCACCAGCGTGACTTTTTGCTTGTTATCATAGGCACAGGGCAGACTCTGCACCCACTGGTCACCAAGCACTTAGACCTTCTGGAGCTGGCATGTGGAATGAGGTCCTCTCTTGTGTCTCATGGACAGTGTGGTCAGCAGAGCAAATGAGGGGGAACACCCCATCTGTGTGGCAGAAAATGTGAAGAAGCATATCACGGGTGAAGGTATATGCTGGTGGTGCAGGCTGTGGCATGGTCCTGTTGCCATACATTGTCCCAGCAGCAGTGCTCTTGAGACCAGATTGGCCTAGATCTCCTGGCTGTGCATACTGGTGGGCGCTGCCAGAAGGATGCTGTGCTGGCTTCACTGGGTTACTCTCTCTCAATGCCTTGGACTGTACAGAAACAGTGAACAGTGGAGAGTCAGGGCTTCTGGTAGTGCACAGTGTGATTACGTGATGCAGCTCAGACCACAGAACCTGTACCACAAAATATAGTTGCAGGTAGACTCCACACCTTCCCTGCCAAGACATGTTCATTGCATGAAAATCCAAGAACAGAATTATCGCAGAAAGTTTTCCTGAGATGTAATTTTTTCCAGAATTCCATGTAAACAAATAATATTTTTCATTAAGAGGCACCCCCCATCAAAAGATAACGCAGACAGTATCATACAGAACTATGCAGTGGCTATGTAATCCTTGCTTGAATCCAGACTGTCTTTATTGACTTCAAAACATGTCTGTAATCTTTCTTTACCAGCGTATGGATCTCAGTAGGTGTTTTGCCTGAAAAGTTGTACAACCATGGGCCTTCTGAGAGTAATCAAATCAAAGCTCAACATATGGTTTCAGCATAAAACTGTTACAGATAGTTTAAGTATCTTCTAGCTTTAATTAATTAAGTTTAACTGCCATTACTCAGTCTTATTTAATGTACCAGCATTGTAGTTTAATTGCAGATTGACTTTCTGTCCATAACCACTAACTAGCAGTTGTTTTTAAGAGTCCTGTTTTTCTCCCACACTGACTTTTATCCCACACTGATAAAAGTCCATTATACAATAAAATCTGGCTTAATTTCAAATGACTTCTGGTCACTGCATTTTATTTCACATCAGCAGTCATAAATACAGAGTTGATCCTGCAACAAGGAGAAAATCAGATATTAAATTAATACACCATAGCTTTATACAGAGTAATCTCATTACTCTGAGGTATGGCATTTGCAGTTGGTAGTAGATTCATAATACACACTACCACTCTCAGGAAATAAATCAAAAGCCTGGCATGAATATTATTACTTTTATCTTTACCTTGTGGCTAGAAAAAAATGAGCTTCCTGTCACTTTTATTAGTATGCCCTATCTATTTAGGCAGTGCTGAAGGTGAGGGTGGAAACAACATTTACATGATAATGGTCTTTAAAAATGTTTTCATTCCCTCCTATAAATGATTTTTTAAGATAGAAGGGGAAAAGTGCATTTTGTTCACAGACAGTAACAGAATTGTGGATTGCACAATGTGGCATTAAAGCTACCTCTGTGCTGTAACCCTCCATAGACTATGCTGAGATACAAAATGAATTGGCTTGGGGCTGTGCTTGTACAGGTTTCTGGTTTGGGAACTAGTAGTTTGGGGCTATGTCAGGAATCTGCACGGTGTGTTAGATAAGTAACCTTGGACCTTTTTGCCTATCTTCATCTGTGGGCTCTTTGCCACTGTGTGTTGTTTCAGACAGTTTTGTTTTGTTTTGTTTTGTTTTTAATTTGCATGTACAGTACTTCAAGCAGCAGCCTTGTGTCCCATGTCTGAGTCTTCTCTGCAGCACAGTAAGAGAAACACAGGAAAACTTAGACAATGTCAGGCAGGTTAGATCCTCTCAGATACAAGAAATATGTAGTTATCTCCATTCTGAAGTTGCCACAGGCCTGTTTGGTCCCTGGAAATGTTCCAGCTACCTTAAGAGTTGCCCTAACTTGTACCATAATTGCTGTTTCCCATATGCCTTTTCAGCATTATGCATGAGAAGTACTGAAGAACATATTTCACAGAATCACACAATCACAGAATTTCTAGGTTGGAAGAGACCTCAAGATCATCGAGTCCAACCTCTGACCTAACACTAGCAGTCTCCACTAAACCATATCACTAAGCTCTACATCTAAACGTCTTTTAAAGACTTCCAGGGATGGGGACTCCACCACTTCCCCGGGCAGCCCATTCCAATGTCTATCAACCCTTTCAGTAAAGAAGTTCTTCCTAAGATCCAACCTAAAACACCCCTGGCACCACTTTAGCCCATTCCC